AAAAAAAAAAAAAAAAAAAGGAAATCGTTTAGTTCTCCACTCAGTCTGGTAGAAGTGTAGATAATGAGGACTATAAGTATTAATTTTGTGAAAGTCTGAAATTCTAGTTATTTCTTCAAGCTGCAGCATGTTCTCAGAATATTGGTACATAGAATCTGCATCAGTACACTGTAGTATGATTTCACTCACAGTGCTTTCAATACCAGTTTCTGAGGGGTGTCAATCCTCCTGCTATTCTTAATTATAGTTGCCACAGAAATCAGTGTCTAAAATTCCCCTCACTCATGCCTTCAGATGAATGTAATTTCCATGACCAAATAAATGTAAACTGACATATTAATATAATAGTAGCCTGTGGCTTTTCCATCCATTTATTTATGTGCAATAAGATTTCAGTGAATCAATACAACAATAATTTCAGTTTTACCATTTTCTCCTTCTGTCTTCAAAACATCAACTTTCCCTAACACACAATAAAATTCCCAGACTGCTCTGAGTTATTATAAACAACTTCAGAAGTCTTAAGATAAATAATTATGCATTGCAAATGGACACATTCTGACCATGAACAAGCATGTCCCTTAAAATGCACAGGAAGATGGAGCTTCAGGATGGCATCAATTAATCCCCTGGGGGACTCATGGCTACAGAACATCAAAATGTATGCACAAATTATTTTCAAATCTGTGTATATTTTTTTCTTGTGGCAAATAAATGATGATGATGATGAAAATGCCTTCAGTTTACAAGTAAAACACTCAGCAGAAGTAGACATTTAAAAACAGGTGGCTCCTTAGTAGAGTCACCAAGGGGATAGAGCTATTAGTGTCTATATTATGGAGGTGTCCATGGTATGCAGGTAGAGAATAAATGAATTGTGGTTAATCTTTAATTGGGACCAGGGGAGAAAAACTGTCTGTTTGACTGTAATATATTATCCAGTATTATGGAGGTGTCTGTAACTGATGTGATCTTATGCTGAGCAAATAGACACAGGTAGTTTAAGGACTTTCTTTATCCTGAACATGAATGTAATATGAAAGGTCAAATCACTGAGATCAGTTGTGGTCAGGTCCATGTAGCTGGTGCATTCATTTGAAATTTCCTCTGGAACAGTGCAATCCCTGAGTTTAATACCAAGCACTGTCTTTCCTTCAATGGCATCAAGAATCTGAAGGCAGAAAGGCTCATCAAACAGCTCTGGTGTGAGAATAAGGATCATCCTTGAAGCATGTGTTGGTGCCTGTCTAGATCTGTTGGTGGTGACATTATATCTGTTTGTTTCCAGCATTCCAGTTAGCCATTGTTTTACCCATAGCTGATCCTTTTTGCTGTGATAGATGTGAACTTGGGAATCCTCAGGCACTACATTACAGGAAAATAGGTTGAAATTTATTGTACAAATAGGCAAATTCAATTTTGATAATAATTATTAAAATGAGTAGGCACACTTGAAAACAAGTGTAGTGGTCGCACAGAATAGCAACCAAAAGCAAATATGTCTTTTTTGAACTGGAATACAAACTAATTAATTCTGACTTCCAATCGAATACAGCTGTCAATATTCGGCTCGATAATACAAATTAGTGAATAAATATGCTATTAAATCTAATTTCACACAAAATTCTCACGACATTACCAGTCTCAATGTCAGAAGAATGTCTTTTGTCCTTATTATCAGTCACAAAGAACCATGTAATTATGGTCTCTTATTTCATTGCTGTTAATCAATCATTTGTAAAATCCACACCCATCCTGCAAAAGGTGATTGGAAATCCTTAGGGACTGACAGGGGTATCCAAAGCAACATGTTTTCGAGGAAAATGTGAAGCTAAAATGAAATTTCCAGAGGGGTGGGGGTTGAAACCAAGAACTCTTCTGTGAGGGCTGGGAGGTTATAGATGAATTTTCTGCATCAACTCATTTAATTGTTGTCGTCATAACAATCATCACTGTTACTGTTATTGAAAGGTATTGTTGTTACTTTATTTTGTTTTGGAAAGAGATGAAAGACTGAGGGGAAAGACTGATAAGGGGTGAATTTCATAACCAGACAAATTTTGCAAAACATGGTTACCGTAAATCCTCAAATTAGCAAGCCCCCCTCAAATAAGTGCCCCCATCAAATAAGCATCCTTCCTATCGGCTGAAATGTAAAATAAGTGCCACCCCTCGAACAAGCACCCTCCTCCCCCCCATTTTGTGGATGAGTAATGAGACAACAAAGGATGTATAGTTTTTGTCATGTAATATTAGATTTGTACATTGTTTCAGTTTGTGAACATGTTAAGTGAACACGTTGAAGATGTTAGGTACTAACGGTGCCACCATTTAAACTTTACGATCAGCTTTTTATGTCAATTAAAACAGCTTATTTTGTTGTTTACAAGCAGATGATGCATTAAGAAATGATCATGTCAGGCCACGATTTGGGATAAATGAAATAAGCGCCCCCCATCTTCTCCTAAATTTGAAATAAGCGCCCTGGGCACTAATTCAAGGATTTACAGTAAGTAAAATATAATTAGCTTACGTGTTTCTGGATCAATGGGTGGTTTGGGTATCTTCATCCTCAATGGATATCTTGCACTGCTACTGGGTGTCCAACGACGCAGGTCCGGCTGCCACTCATTCATGCCGTTAAGTGTGTATACATCATTGTCCAGGAGCCATTGAATATGTGCTGTTCGATATTTGACAGCTTTGTTGTCTCCTTGGGTTGAAAACTCATCAAATTCTACAACATGATTTATTCAATTACAGTAATTCTGTGTACAGTGGTACGGGCCATGAAAATTTGGCCATGTGAATGGGGTGGCTGTATTGATAGGGTAGGGTCAGCTTTCAAAATGACTGGTCTAAATTGAGTGGAGTCTTAACAGATACCTCACAATTGAATGTAAAAACAACAGTTCATCAAGAAATGCAGATATAATTTTAAAAAAATTGAAACTTTAATCAGTACATACAACATTAACAATGGAAAGGTGAACATAACTGGTTTGAGTGGCCGTATAAGCGGGGTCAAATTATAAAGCATTATACAGGTTGGGATTTCAGAATGAGGCCGTTTGCTGTATTAACGGAGTGACTGCATTAACAGGGTTTTGTTATAAACAAATGTGCGTACATTTCGCAATTGGCCAAAATAAGGAGGTGACTGTAAGGGAGGGCTCCACCGTAGTTAAGGTTTATATGATTATAGGAATCATCAAGGGTGTTGGCAAAAAAATACCCGTAAAATTGACCAGTCACAGCATTGAGAGATAAATACCTATACACTCTGCAGGGTATCCCCTTGAGGCAGGACTCCTATTGGCCAGTTTTCTTTGCTTGTTTCGTTTCTCACTGCACCAGCTATCACAGTATGATGTCCTAGTGTAAGAATTAATGTTTGCTGCAGATTTGTTACCAGAGACTTCACTATTTGAGTGACAATAGCTTCTTGAGGACATGATACAACTGACAAGAAAAAAATGAAAGATACATTTTTCATTTCTCTACTTTTAATGCATAAGTTATTAAGCAAATGATTATTAGTCGAGGAGCTCCTTCTGAATAGCATAATTATGATATTTTTTTTTACTCCAAAAGTATTTGTTAGTTTCTAAATAACATTATCGCCAAATGTGTAAATTCTTGTTACAATGAAGGAATGACCCTTGGCTGGTAATTTGGGCTTGATTATTTTTAACTCTTCAGTATCTTGTTCGTCGCCCTAGCTATAAGCATTGTCACTTTAAAATTATATTAAATTTAAGAAAAATTTCTATGTATACCTTTGGATGGTCATAATTTACTGTTAAGTTTCCTTTGATATTATGTTGTTCCTTTTACATCATGTTGTTGTTCTTAAATTTTATGAAGGACTGCTGACATAAAAACAGTATAGATTTGGTGGTAAAATTTTTTAAATGTTAGATATATCAATTATCAGAGTGTAAACATCCAGCACATTACATGGATATTTTGTTGTGTGTACTTTGAGGATAAGTTTAAACAAGTCAGTCAACTGATATCAGCAGAGCAATAACTTAGTTGAAGTATTCTGGTGAAGAAATACAATTTAAACAAAACATTTCTTGTATGCACTTACCTTAAACTCTACACCAACACTATTGAACATTTGTTAGATTTTGTCACCATGGAAATTCACTGCATTTTTAATTAAAAAAAACAACTGGAAAAATTTTACATTTTTCTTATTGGTTGAACTTGTTAGAGGGTTTTTAAATATTTCAGTATTTCAACAGAGATAATTTCTCTTAACTTTTCTGGTATATTGTTATGTTCTTTAGAAAGAGAATTTAAGAATTTATCAGCTCACAGTTTAACTGGGGGCTTAGGAATTAATTAAAGCAGGTGTCAAAATTATTGTTTTCAATTTCAGTGATAAAATATTCATGTGTGGCAGAGCTTTACATCATGTGTTAGTTACAAGGCTTGTACTTTCCTGGAAAAAAATTATTGAAACTCAATGATAAGTTTAAGAATATCAAGATTTTGGTTATCCACGCTTAATTTAAGTATTGTCATGAAAACTAATGGAAGGACAAAGTTTTAAATTTATTTTTAGAGGTTTACGTGCCTGTTTATGATTGTGTTACATAATTTTGTTCACAAAGAAAGTTTGACATTCATAATTACATGTCTGTCAAACCCATGCCTATAAAAAGAATATAGTATGTAAACAAAAATTGATTAGCCCTGAACCCTATGGAAATTGCAAAATGAGAATATTAACATAAATAAAAAAAATATCGTATTTTATCTAAGAATGCAGATCACATTTATCCTTTATTATGCAATAAGAACTTCTCAATATGTTCTTTATATTTATTAGCAAAAAGATTTTGTCATTTTATAATTAATTTACTCAGGGGACAAGGTAGATTTACATTTGGTTCAAAAGAATATAATTCTACCAGCAAATTATACTGCTAGAAGCTTAAACTGCTGCAAAATAGGCTTCATTACCAGCTGTTGTCCAGGCAGAAAGGAGCCCATGGATTCAAGAGAGTGGCAGAAATCCAGCCTACCAGCTGAACTGATACATAATACCCACTGGTTTGATAGTATACCCAAATATTTTGTGTGACGTACCAGCATTTGGTATACAGTATTCACATGCATGGTTCCTACATTAAGTATATATAATGTAGCTAAATACAAATTAATACATCAATTTGAAACATGCCTTTACCTTCCTTTCAAACTCTTTTTCAGGTTTACGAAGGACTTGTTGCTGTACGATTTACCGCAGCCATAGGAAGATTTTTATACAGTGATATTGCCTTGGATGACATAGTGTTTAGGTAAGGTTGGTCAGATCAGTGATGCAGATGAGTTAGGGTAAGACTTCCTCAATAAGATGCCTCCATAATAGTACATCAGTGATTTTGCAATGAATGCTCCTATTCCAATAATCACCTCTTTTCATCACCACTTTTCTAATAAGCTGATCCCAATTCTAGTAAATGCTCTCCCACACCCCACATTCCAATATCTGCTCCCATTGTTTCATGCCTGGTTTTGTTTTGAGCTACGACAGATTGCACTAGAAGATCAGGGCTTGTAGTTTAACCATTTAAAAGAATTTTCCAAGAAAGAAAGATAAATAAATATGTACTCAATCAAATTGTTAAAAAAAAATTTTGGTTGTGTTTTTTTACTTGCCCACCCCCTCTCCCCTCCCCCGTCCCCAGTTTGGCATCTCCCAAAGTTGACAATTCACTATTTTGATCGTTGTCACTCTTTAGTGCAAGTTGTGGTTCTGACAAAGCTTGTCGCAGTCCAGATGTTATCCCCATCTTTGGAACTAAAGAAGAAACAGGTATATGTCGCCACATATAACTGCTCTTTATGAATCTTACAAATGTCCTGATGACAAGATAAATTTTCCTGCTAAATCAGTGTTTGTTATAAGAAAAGGGAAAAACCGTTACTCATTTGAGGGTTTTTTTGTTTTGTGAAATGGAGAGTTTTTTTGTGAGATAAACATATAGTGGTGTTACTGTGGCATTTAAAGCAGTAGTGTCCTGTGTTGCTAGTCTAAACATGTTTCAAATTGTTGATGTTATTTATCAAACACGAGAGACAGTGTTTCATCGGGATATCCAAACACCAAGAAGAAAGCTGAAAATACGACGCTCAGCAGAGTATTTTTGATGAAATTTGAGGTGTTTGGATAGCCGATGAAACACTGTCTCAAGTGTTTGATATATCTTCTCAATCGAAACAAAAACTAAGGAGTAAATGAAGCAGTAAAATCATTGAAATCTATGCTAATTAAGACCGGGTATCTGAACCTCCTTCACAGTTGTGATTTACTTTGTTTTAACTTGATGAATTATTGAGTTTGAGAAGTTTTGTTGCAATATCCCATGAAAGGTTACTCTTGACAGTCATCAAGTGTTTCTTATATGTTGGGGGCTTTATTAATCCCATTAATATCTGAATGAAATTATTGTGTCTTTCTTAGGCATACATTTGTCTGTGAGTGGTGGCAGTATTCTGGGTGGAGTGAACACAAATCAGTCTATCAGAGGCAACTTGTCCTTTACATACAACACCTGGACACATGTGGCATTACAGTATAATGATCAGACCAAACAACAAGTAAGTCCTCTTTCCATCCAGTAACATGACGGGATGGTAAATGGTAAATGCGAGACTTTGTGAGATGGCAAGACAAGTATGTTTTTTTTTTTGCGAGCTGAGTTTTTACTTTTTAAATAAAGAGGAGACATACAGACTCTAAGACATTCAGATGTGATGTGTAAAAGGGTGTAGGAAGATTGCAAGTTGCGAAGTTGTAAGTTGGAGTTGCAATATTATTGCAAGTTGAGAGTTGGAGTTGCGAATTGCTAGTTGTGAGTTGCCATTTAGCAGTGTCAGAGTCATAATCTGTTCCAGGCTCTCAGAAAGCCAGAAGGCGCAAAAAGGCGAACCTAAAAATAAAAGGGACTAGTAGGGATGGCAGAAGCTAAGTGTTTACACCCAACCAAAGTAACTGGGCATTTGTTTAACACCAATATCAAGGAAGTCATCAACATTTTCACAAACAAAAATAATTTAAAAGTGGTAGGCTACCTCAAAGTGAATGCAAACCTCAAAAAATACTGCAATAGTTAACAAATGTAGAAAAGTGCAAACAAGGTTAGATGTTGAATAATGGTAAAGATAAGTAGTGAAAAATACAGAGGACATCCAAAATCCGGATTTTAAAAAAGCATTCATTTTAAAAAAGCACCTTACCCTGATGTTTACAGCATCATGTAATTCTTTCCTGTTTCTTTCTTTTTCCAGGTTCTGTTTGTTAACGGCAGAGTGGATCAAGTAATGAACAATGTTTCAGCCTCCTGGTTGCCATCAAACCTCCTCTTGGGAATGGATGGTTCACAGTATATGGCTGGACAGATAGATGAGGTACAGCTGTACATAACTTAACCTATCTTGGGTTCTGTCATCCAGGGTAAAGAGACTTGTAAATTGAGTGGACATTCAGTTATCTACTATAAACTAACTCTTCAAAGCGCATTGATCAGTATGTGTTCAGATATATGTCCGAACTATGGATATGGTGTGGCTTAGTGGTTTAGAGGGGGCTGGATTTGAAATCTTGAGGCCTCTTGTACCCCACAATTATTTTGTTTAATTATTTTACTGCGCCTTTCAATAACACGCGGACTCTAAAATTCAAAGCTCAACCGACAAATGCGTTTTTCACCACTGTCAATCAAATGTTTGGTGGCTCCTCCCAGCCTCCAACTACTGTTGAACACTGTTCCATTGTCTGAACTGTGCTCAACGATTTGATTACCGCGTGCTCGGCAGTAGAGGGAGTCCTCCTCGAACATTTGATTAACAGTAGCAAAAAATGCATTTGTTGGTTGAGCTTTGAATTTAAGAGTCCACATGTTATTGAAAGGCGCAGTAATACTGCATCCACATTTATCGCAGCAGTGTTAAATACATAGACACTGAAATAATGTCATCTGTTGTCATAAATTCATACAGGTCCAAATCTGGAATGCCGCTGTCAATGTGTCTGTTTTCTATGACAAATACTTGAGGGGCACTGAAGAAGGGCTGGTCAGATATTACAAGTAAGATGGAGATAAAAAACAAATGTACAAAACTACAACCATCTTGACTCTAGCAAAAAAAGGAACAGTGGCATAAGCCCTGATTTTTCTGAAAGACAGCTTTATTAACCTTTTCAACACCTGTGCCCTGACCTACCAAGGTGCATAGTGTTGAAAACAGACTTTGATCAAAGCTTATCATTTCCAAGAACAGAATCCCTTTAGTTAAATGCACGTCTTTGGAAACTAAGCAAATCACAGTTGATCTTCTTTACATGTCAAGCTTAATAGGTGCAAGGTAAAAACGTATATCAGGATCAATATAAATTGTAAATTTTCAGATTTTGTAAAATTAGCACTTGTCATTGTTAAATAAATGAATGTCACACTTTGTCTAACAACTTCTCTGTATTAAAATTGTCTCTGTATTAAAAGGTGTAGTGAAGGAGAAGGGAAGCAGTTAAAAGACAGCAGCATGTCAAAGAAGCCTGGCTCCCTTCATGGAACAACATGGCTCTCCTCATCGTTGGAACTTAGCAAGCTAAACTGAACCACAAGAATCACCTTGTGTGCTGGTTTAGATACACATCGAGTGATTAGTGTACTGAGCCAGCTGGACAGCCTCCAGTAATTCGGGCAATGAGCAAGTTTACCATGAGTTTCTAGTTTGTTATAATGCTATTAAGATCAGTCAAGTTACATAAAATTATTAAGTAACAAGTAATGACTGATATTGTCTGGTAGTTGTTTGATTTTTTTCATATGTTCTTTATTCAACATCTCTGAATGATGTAGCCCCACAGTTTAGATGTAGAAAAGTACTTTTACCGACATTTTGTAGCTTTTGAATTGGTTTTCATAATAACAGCAAACAAATTCAACACCTTTTCACATTCACTTTCAGACAATCTTCAATTCCTTATGGACATTGCTTTAACAATTTATTTCCTCTTAAGTCGGTTGTTATTGTTTTATCTTAATTTATAAGTTTTTCATATTTCATACTTTGTTACCCTATATACTCCATGTTCGTGCTTTTTATTCATTATCTGTCAAAGATTGCTGACTGGGAAATGACCTGCAATCAAAAGCTCGTAATTTTTTACTAATTTAACCAGAACGTCCCATTAAAACAGCTATAGCAGTGCAAGCCATGGATACCAGAGTGGCTTTTGTACACGTAGGCATTTTTTTAGGTTTATATATCAAGTAGTATTGAGCAGTAGACTAAAAGGTGTTCCTCTTTTTCCCTAGTTGATCAACTGAGAAAGTGTCAAGAAAAATGGCTGTGAGAACTGCCAAAAAAAAAAAAAAATGGGGAAAGAAGGAATGCCCCGACCTACATTGTAAAACATACATACATACATCCATTTTATTTTGTTTTCAAATTAAAATTACAATTATAACATGCCCACGGATAGCTGAGCTAATCTAGGCAGGTCATGTTTATACAAATTATTAATATACAACTAGGTACAACTAAATACAACCGAAGGCAACAAGAGAACTAAAGAGACTAAAATTGACAACAATGACTAGTAAAAGTAAAGATTGTTTGAGCAACCCATTNCATTCCCTTATTGCAGTTCCTTGTTTGTCAAGTTAATACTGATAACATTGGCCAAACTCTTACTCTTGAACAGTCTTTCCTTACATTCAGATTAACAAAAAACTTACACTTAATCAGAAAGCTGATAACACCATGTTGTATCTTCATTACAAAATCAAGAAACGTACATTTTTATGGTTTCCTGAATCTTACAAAACACACAAGTATAAACTTCTTTCAATACCTCATGTATGAATTGCACAAAACAATTTGCCTGACAAGATTACTGTGCTGTGGATAAATCCTTGGGTGGCCATTTTCCCTCTTTAATGAGCTTTTCTTTATGCCTTTTAATCTTCTGAATTCTTGTATACTGTGGAAAACAAAAGCATCAAGTGGCTTAATCAGAATAACAAGACAGGCTTCTAGTACTGTTGCCTACAAAGTACAGTTTCACCCCCACAACAGCTACCTTGAAAACAGAGAAAAGTGGCCATTGTAGAGAGGTAGCTGTTACGGAGAGGTAAGGATGTAATATGACACGCGTTTTTCTTGCGGGAGAGCCACATTTTGTTTTTTTTTTTCAAAAAATGCTTATTTCAGCATATACAAATCAAAAAATGTATCAATAAAACAGAAATCTAAAAGAAACGGAAACCAGCGGCGCACGGTATGGATCAAGTTTGGTGACCTTTTACGATACAAAATGGGGTTTTGTATACACTATTCATCAGTTGTTGATTAACACTGGCCATAGCCATTGTGGAGAGGTGGCCATTCAGCATTGTAGAGAGGTTAAAATATGAGTGAATGTATGGACTGTCAGCCAGGACCAAAAGAAGTGGCTGTTGTAGAGAGGTGGCCGATAGTGTAGGTTTGACTGTAATTTCTTATAACCATTATCAATTGCAATTGGTTGAGATGCTTGTAAACAATAGACTGCTTTGATTAGGGGAATGCTGCCTATTTTGCTGACAGAAATACAGTTGGACCCTGCTAATTCAAACTCGGTTATTTCAAATTCCCTGTTATTTTGAACTCCAAAACCATTTTCCCTTGGATTTGTCCTTCAGTCATTTGCTTGCTTGCTTGCTTAAGCCTTTTGATTCCCTGAGGAACATAGGGCCGAGGTGGGGAGGGAGTGTTTTGCTTGTATGTTTAGCCCAACTTACAAGCAAAGCACCCACCCCCACCCCTCCCTACCCCAGCAACACAAGGTTACAAGCTTACCAGTTTCTTGTGGTGCAAACATTCAAGGTAATCTTCTCTGTAGTTTTGACATTGAACCCACTGATCATTACGGCCAACTTTTACCACGCATGCGAGAAAATCGTCCCAAAATGGCGCACAGCGCGGTCTATTTCCACTAAGTCCCGGACCTTCCGCCATTAGGAGTCCTCTAATGTAAGGCTCTCAGTGAGACTACAGAAACGAAACGAAAGAGATTAAGCTACCTTTGAACTAATAAACATGTTTGACAAGCTAAACCCGACAGTGTATCTTGAAAATGACATAAAACATACCAATACAATTAAGGACAGTGAGGTATTTTTGTCAGTTTACTTCCAAAGAAAACAATATGGCGCTGCAATATACGGGGATGTTTGAAGCGAGTATCCGCTGAATTTCCTCACACGGGCGCAAACCTCAAGGTGGTGCCACTGCAACTTTTGTTTTCCAAATATGGTTTTGTGCGTGCGATGAAATTTTCCCGGGAACGAACAAACCAATGATAAAAAGAAATTCCTTCGTAGCTTAGACGCTGATTGGTTGCTTTTTCACACCGCGCGCAAATTCAAGTTCGCGTCGCGTCCTTCGCTGATCATTCCTTCCTCAGCCTTCTCGTACATTGCATCTGCGTGCTCTTTTATATCCTTTCCTTTTGTAAGTAGTTACTCCGTAGTTCATCATGCTTGGTGTAGACAACTATATAGTCAAGAGCGACAACATTAGCAAGCTCACGAAAGCTGTCAAAGACGTTTCCTTCAACGAGACCGAGGAGGACAAATGCAACCAGAAGAGTGAGAAGGTGAGACAAAGGGTTCATAACGATCTCTTCCATTTTGGCGGGAGAAAAGATTTTCAAGGCAAGCCAGCTCCCTGTTGTATTATACGAAAGCTTATGAAATAGGAAAAACTCGATTATCAGTTTGCTCGCCGTTTCACGAGGCTTTATTTTCCTCCCTTATAAAATCATCCTTCACGTATTCATGGCAAAAAATCTGCCAGCATCAATGTGTGCATATCACTGTTCTAGAATCTTGCAGTTTGGAATGAAGGCCTTTTGCCTGGTAAATAGTTTTCGCTGTGTTTGAATCTTGATAGCCGGCTGTTAAAAGCCTTAGTTCTTTTAGAGTATTTTTTAATTACGTGCAATTGAAGTTAGCTTCAAGCAAACGAACAAAAGGACGAAGTCCGTTCCAACCGCAACGGTATTTGGCGCTAAATTGAAAAGCGGAAAATTTTCTCTTCGAAGGTGCGTTTTCCAAGCCATCTCTTTCTTACTCTGGAAAATAACTATTTCCTCGACAGTATAAAGCTAAATTATGGTTGTGTGTTTTTATTTTATTTCAGCATCGTGGACCAGAGAAGCCAGTTTACAAAGCAAAGTCGAAGTTCAACACCGAAGATGAGCCTCTTCTTCGTGAAAATCCACACCGATTTGTCCTCCTTCCCATCCAATATAAGGATATTTGGCAAATGTACAAAAAGGCTGAAGGTAAGAAGCCGAAATGACTCTAAAGAAATTAGTTTTCTCAAAATAAGCATTAGCCCAATTCATTGCAGTTGCATAACAATTTATTCAATGTCCCAGCAAAGGGCACGCTTGCTTATTTCACTGAGAGAGAGACAGAGATGATACCAAAGTGTATAGGAAATGTTTATCCGGTTTCCATAAAAGAAGAATGAAGGCAAATTGAAAGAATTAATATTCTAAGATTTGTCATTAATTTACTAGAATTACACGATGAGAAGACAATTTTGCCCGCATATTGTTGACAAAACTTTGTTTTTGTTGCAGCCTCCTTCTGGACTGCAGAGGAAGTAGATCTTTCCAAAGATAAAGATGACTGGGTTAAACTTTCGGTAAGATTTTAATCTTTGCTTTTTTCACTGGGTAGCAGAAGTGCACATGTCCTTATGCCTTGAAAAAAATTTCCAACAGGCCCTGTGCCATAGGTTGCCCTCCATAAGGAGGGGTGGGGGCAAGAGTGAAGATAAAAAAATTCAAGGTTGCAGTCTGATCATTTATTCTTTTTTTCTTTCCTGTATAACTTAGGATGATGAAAGGTATTTCATCAAGCATGTTCTTGCTTTCTTCGCTGCTAGCGATGGCATTGTCAATGAAAACTTGGTTGAGTGTTTCAGCCAGGAAGTCCAGGTTCCAGAGGCAAGATGTTTCTATGGCTTCCAAATAGCAATTGAGGTGAGAAAGAGTTGTGATACTGCTGCAAATAGGGAGAACATTGTAAAAAAAAAGTTCAGATTTCCCATGTAGGTACCACTTTCATTTCTCAGAAATGGTGAAGCTACAGTGATTCATTTTCATAAAATCTGGGAACAGTGTACCATGGCAACAAAACTTGGTTTTATATAAGATAAAAAATTCCTTTTTTCTCTTTCAGAATATCCACTCTGAAATGTACAGTCTACTGATCGAGACTTACATTGAGGACTCTGCTGAAAAGTAAGTTGGTTATGCAATTATCATACTCATCCAATTCCTAGCTTAGGTAAGAAACATAATGTAGACCCTGTTTTCAACCAATTTTAGCCCATCTAGATGAGGGTTAATTTAAAGAAAAGAGTCAAAATTTATATCCATGTTTTTTTTTTTTACCAACCCTGGTGTTTTTGGTGATTTGGCAAAATGGTGTTGAATGCAATTTTTCACAGCCAGTAATAAAAATACATCTCAACCAAATTTTAGAGGGTTATTTTTTTGGTAAGCTTAAAAGGCTTCCTCTGTAATCAGTACTTACAATACCATAATTTCCTTCTTGTTTTGCAGACAGCGACTTTTCAATGCCATCGAGACAATGCCTTGTGTCATGAGAAAAGCTCAGTGGGCCCTCAACTGGATCAACCCAGAGAGAGTAAGCGGACTTTTGTGTGACTATACATTCAATCTTTCCTTTGTTTTTTTTTTTGTTTTGTTTTCTGGAAACTTTTGCCACAGGTGTATGGAGGTTTCTCAGGATTGGATAACAAAAATGTCTTGACAGTTGTGGTTCTTATCATTTGACAGGCATCTTATGGTGAGAGGATAGTGGCTTTTGCTGCTGTGGAAGGAATCTTTTTCTCTGGTTCATTTGCTGCCATTTTCTGGCTAAAAAAGAGGTGGGAGTTGACATGAATTAAACCACTCTGACCCAAGCTAAGCTCTTATTGAACTTTTAGTTTTAAAATGAGTTTAGGTTACACCATGATTTCACCAGTTGATGATACTGTTTACATTGTAGATAATAAAAATTACTGCATTGCTAACTGTCAATCTTTTCTATTAAAGGGGCAAGATGCCAGGTCTAACATTCTCGAATGAGCTCATAAGTCGTGACGAGGTAGGACAAAATTGCTTAAGCTATGTTCAATTTTTTCTCTAAGTAACCCCTTGGAAGAAATTAGCCCTATCATGGACTATGTACCACTGATATGATTGTAGAATTCACCTGACGTGTGTGCTTTCCCTCTTTCAGGGTCTTCATTGTGACTTTGCCTGTTTGATGTTCTCCTACTTGGTCAACAAACCATCAGAAAAAGTTATCAAATCAATAATCATGGATGCTGTCATTATTGAACAAGAATTCCTTACAGAAGCCCTCCCAGTTAAACTCATTGGCATGAACCATACCTTGATGAAACAGTACATTGAATTTGTTGCTGACAGACTTTTAGTGGCCCTCAACTGTTCTAAGGTAATAATAATAATTGATTACACTTTGATTCTCCCAAATGACTATTTTATATTGCCTTTTATTTAAGTTATGAGAATTTTACAGCTTTATTTATATAGTAAAACAGCCATCAATCTTATAATTTATTCTGTACTCAATAGGTTTACAATGCTAAAAACCCATTTGACTTCATGGAGAACATTTCCTTGGAAGGGAAGACAAACTTCTTCGAGAAGAGAGTCGCAGAATACCAGAAGGCAGGAGTGATGAGCAAACAGCAGGAGAACAAATTCACACTGGACGAAAACTTTTAACCAGTGTTTTTTTAATCAAAAAAAGAGAAAAATGTTTTTTCAGCTTGAACATTAATAACAAATCACGCACTTACATAAAGGTTGTAAATACTTCAGCAGTCATTTTTCTATAGATTTTGTATTTTTACAGTTTGATCTTAAGCAAACTCCGTAAATAATATTTTACAATGATTTGGATGTAAAGCTTGAATTTTTTTATGACAGTGTACAGAAATAGTATTTTTTTCCACTGATTATAAATCTTTCAATATATTTTTTTTAACCACAGCTGTACAGTTATCAAGTATTTTTTTTTCTTGTTATGCTTTTAATGGAAACTAAATTATTAAAAACTTTCTGTTGAGAGTTTAATTTTTTTTTTGATCAATAAAGAAACTTGTATGTTTTAACTGTTATCTCTGACTGTG